CTGAGTACCACCAGTTTAGCTCGCAGTTTAACTTGTGAGATATCAGCGATCCTCAAGAGGTAGTCTTCTTCTTCTGGAATACTTTTAGCAGTAGGGCAAGGGGAAAGGGCAATCTCTCCTCTGTCGGCATTACCATGGGCAGCAATATGAATCAGACTCACTGAACTCATCACTTGAAGTACCGCCTCTCTTGTCGCACGCTCTCCCGACAAAGGCTGAACACCCAGCAGTTGTCCGATCATCTCTGCTTCCTTCCTCGCACCGTTCAGTGATTTGAAGTTACGAATATTTCCCTTGTAAAGTGCCCAGCCAACCTTGGGATCACCCACAACCAGTGCATCTGTCTGACTGTGATAGTCCACTGGGCAGTCCTGGATAAGCTTCAGAGTCGTCAAAGAAGGGACGATGCGGAGCCTGAAGGTCTCTGATAAATACTTTCCGCCTATGTGGTCGCGTAAGGCTGCAAATGGGACTTGGTACAAGTTACGTTCGGGAACAATAATGATTTCGGGCTCGGTGAGTAATTCGGCCACTGGAGCGATGATCAGTTTGAAACATTCAGAAAGCATCCTTTCAGGGTCTTTGGCTTTCTCGCCTCTCAAATCTGTTTCGCTTTCATCTTGGGTTAATATCGACATGGTTTCGTTCAAAGACCGATCCTCGCAGTTCTGTCTGGGTAAAACGTCAAAGCCGCAGATACTTTTGTTGAAATAAGTATTCAGATCATAAGCATCCTCAGCCATGAGAGTTTTGTCATCGACTTCTTCGGAGTTTCGAAACAAAATGTCACCGTTTGCTTTCAGAACCCAAAGAAAAACCCTTCGATCATCATACGAAATGTACAAGAATGCAGAGTCACCTTCTTTGCCCACAATTTCTTCCATCCCATACCATGATTGTGGATCAGCTGAGATATGATTTTCAACGGAAAAGTTTCGTGCCACCAAGTCTGCCAGGCATCTAGCCCGTGTAAGCTCCTCGACATAGAGCGCATCTCGAAAATTACCAGCAGAATATAGCAGTCGACTGAGCACCTTGTAGGGTGCACCTGCGTACTTTTCTGAAATGCCCAGTTGAAATTGTTCGTTTCCTTGCTGAGAATCTCGCCATGCTTCATGTTTAGCCATGTACTGATAAAAATATGGATATGCTTCCTCGGACCTTGATTGAAGAAGTCTCAAGGTTGACATAAGGCCGAGGGTCGATAACTCAACCTTTATGCCTCCAATATCAGAGTTTATCCCGCGGACTTTCTCAAAGCATTCGCTGGCTCTTTCACGTTCCCCAATCTCTAGGAACACCAGTGCTAGCTTTCGGTAACTCCTTGCCAATTTCATTCTATTGCAAATCTCACCACTAATGGCAAGCTGTTTCTTGAAACATTCTATGGCCTTCTGATAATCTTTACGCCAGAAGAAAACATCACCAAGGAGACCAAAAGCATCTGCTTGACAATCTCGGTCACCAATTTCTGTGGCAATAGAAAGTGCTTTCTCGCCATACAGATACTTTGCAAGCCAGGAAGAAACCCTTCCTAGTTTCAAGTAACATGCTGCTTGTACCGATCTGCCACCAGCTTCTATTTCAATGTCAAGCGCTTTCTTGTGAAATTCTTTAGCCTTTTGATATTCACCGAGTGATCCTAACACAATTCCTAGGTTTCCGTAGGTTGTTGCTTCTCCTTCCTTGTCTCCAATTTGCATTTGGATGGCAAGTGCTTTCTCGTGATATTCTTTAGCCTTCTGATATTCATCGAGTAATCCTAACACATCTCCTAGGTTTACGTAGCTTGTTGCTTGTCCTTTCTTGTCTCCAATTTGCATTTGGATGGCAAGTGCTTTCTCGTAATATTCTTTAGTCTTCTGATATTCACCGAATGTTCCTAACA